CACACACACACACACACACACACACACACACACACACACACACAACATATATATATATATTTATATATATATATATATATATATATTCACATGCACGCACGTACGCGCACATACGCACGCACGCAGGAGCGCGCCCACGCTCGTGGTGCTGTGGTGCTACGGGGTGCTAGTCCTCACTAGTGCCGCATATTCATTCACACCTGCCGGTCTTACCGACAGCTTGCGCTATTTCCGTTCACATTATTGTGTTATCTGCTGCTACTGCTGATGCCGCTCCTGTACGCTCCTGCATATGGGAGGGGTGGGAGTGCCGCCACCCCGCCGCGCACACGTAACCGGCTGACTCGCACAACCACCACCACCACCACCACCACCACCACCACCACCAGCAGCAGNAGAGAGAGAGAGAGAGCGCGGATCGGGAGAACCGCTCTTTTCGCATGAAATATGGAAGGCGCCCGGGCGATCAATGACCGCGCGAGGCCGCCCGCCCGCACGCACGCGCGCACTCACGCACGCATGCTGCTGCTGATGCTGCTGCTGATACGGCTGGTTACACGGCAGCCACCTCCGCCTGCGTGCGTTGTTATAATTATGCGCCACCGTCCCGCGCTCGACCTCACTTACAGACGCCAATATGTGATTACTACACTGCACCGTCCCACGGACTCCCTCTTACTAGACTGCATCGACTGTCGGCTGCCCTTGTGGCAGAGCGAAGGTGTAGAGCTAGGCTGCGTGAGGCTGCGACAGCAGCCGCTGCAGCTACCGCCCGCCGCACGATGCTGCTGCCGAGAGCCCGAGTATCGTTGTGCTGTCGCATATGCGCGGGCCGTGCAGCCTAGCAGCGGTGCAGCCGACAGTCGATGCAGCCTAGCAGCGGTGCACCGTAGCAGCGGTGCACCGTAGCAGCGGTGATGGAGCCTGTGGCAGAGGGCTAGAGGTAGAGGGTGCCTCAGGCCCTCTGCCACAGGCCTTCTACCTCTAGCCCTCTGCCACAGGCTCCATCTGCCTCAGGCCCTCTGCCACAGGCCCACTGCTCTCTGCCTGTGGCAGAGCGAAGGGCTATAGTTCTAGAGCTTCACCCATCCCTGCTTACGATGCGTCGTCGCAGCCTGCGCCCCTGCGAGCTGGCAGGCTGCTGCTGCACGTACGCCGTGCTTCGTGCTGATCAGCCCGTTGTCAGGAGATGCAGGCGCGTGTCGGCGCGCGCGTGCGTTATTGACGCCGCGTTGCTACGGCGATGGGGCCCGCTGCCATCACCTCCTCCGCCACCGCTGCCGCCGCCGCCACCGCCGTGCTCACACGTAGCCAGGCGTCACGCGCGCGTCCACGTCACCATGCTCAGCCGCCGGGATCATGATGACGCCTTTCGACAACACATCACCGCGTGCGGTCATCACCCCGTGCCCGTGAAATCTTTCTATGTGTGTGTGTGTGTGTGTGTGTGTGTGTGTGTGTGTGTGTGTGTGTGTGTGTGTGTGTGTGTGTGTGTGTGTGTAGT